TTTCATTTCTCAGATTACTTTAGTGAGAAACAATACCAACAGCAAACAAAGCTCAAAAGGAAAACCCCCACGAATTTGAAAATGATGCTGTTAGTATAAAAAAAAAGGTTGACACATCTCAAAGCGCTGATCAACACCATCATGCATCTACCGCTGAGGGTTTAAAGCCCAACACCCAGTATTTAACTATTTGATCTTCACAGATCAAGCAAGGACTTGAAATCATCTCACGTGCAACAGTTTTGGCATAACACCCCATTTTATCCATGCCACGAAAATGGTAAATTTAGTAGTTACCAATAAATAAGGTGGGGGTCAAAGGGACTAAAGCCTTAGACTGCTCTTTATCATAAGATATCCTCAGACAAACCTCCCCATTCTTCATTCTGGCTCTATAAAATTAAGGAGCAGAGAAAAACTGGTAAGTGCCTGACTTCACAAAGAAAATGCACTCTATATTTCCTTTGTCATTATATGTAATGTTTATAAAATAAATCCAACTGTACTGCTACCCCATGCCCTCCCTCCAAAAAAATCTAGCTTAAAATAGGTATTTAATTGGTGCTGGGGAAAATGTTCCAAGTATTGCAAATAAAAAATGTCAATTTAGTAATCTCAGCATGTTGCACTTTAATAATTTAAGAATCAAGTTAAGTACGAGTGGCATGTTAAGAAAATATGTTTTAAATTCCAACGGTCAAATGTTAAAAATTGGATAACAGACCAATTATTCTGGGCTTTACCCCCAAATCTAATTATGTATTCATACAACAGAATACCAAAAGGAATTAACATAGAGTTTGGTCTAGAAATATCAAAATTGTAACCCTTCCTTACCAAGTAATTAAGTAAAACAAGACATCTTTATTATTTAATCATAATATCTGATATTTTAGTAATTATTATTCAGATACACATTTATGTTATGTTCTCATTACTGACTATAAAATGCTAATAGAAAATCTACTTTATGCACTGACTTTCTAACCCTGTTTGCCTATAAAATGAAGGACTATCTAAACAAACTATATGACATTTACACAAATTGAGTAAAAAGGACATTTTAAAGAAATTTTTCTAAAGAAAATAAACATTCTTAAGGATAGAAATGTGTATTTCACAGATTAAAAAAGGATTAAAACCAAAATTATTTTGTGCTTTGCATATATCTTTAAGCCAACAGATATTTTCAATATAAATTCAAAGTCATCTTTGGTGTTTAGAAAAAATCAATTCAAGTAAAAGACCTGACACTAAATAGAAAAAGAAAAAAAAAATCACAATATATGAAAAACTAGATTAAGATCAATTAATTAGGACTTCTACAAATTTAAGACTGCATTTAGATAAGTGTCTTTACAGCTATATTTACAATTTTGGAAGCAAAATCATTTCATGAAATAGACTAAGTGAATATTATACCCTAAATTATAAGACCAAAAAAGCTACTATAGATCTAGGCATTTTGATAAATCCAACAAGAAATGATTTGAAAAATACTATTTATATCTATATATCCAATTAATAAATTCCAACTATTGATAACTTGGACAATGAAAATTTCCAGTCTAAAAAGTAAAGGATAGCATCAGTCTTAGGAAACCTACTTTGTTCAACATAGAGAAACCTCCAGGAGAATTATGGATTTCTTTATTACTGAGACATACAGAAGTTGGTGTCTAAAACAGAATGTTTAAAACATACCAAGAAAATACACAAATGGGGGTTGGGGCGGACAGAGCACAGTGGTTAAGATTTCATACAGCTCTGGAGTCTAGCAGATCTGGGTTTACAATCCTGGTTTTGCCAACTGCTACCTAGGACCAGTCATTGGAACTTCACCGAGCCTCTAGAGCCTCTGTTTCTTCTTTGGTTAAAAAGGCTCTCGTGGGGGCTTCCCTGGTGGCGCAGTGGTTGAGAGTCTGCCTGCCGATGCAGGGGACACGGGTTCGTGTTCCAGTCCCACATGCCGCGGAGCGGCTGGGCCCGTGAGCCATGGCCGCTGAGCCCGCGCGTCCGGAGCCTGTGCTCCGCAACGGGAGAGGCCACAACAGTGAGAGGCCCGCGTACCACAAAAAAACAAAAACAAAAGGCTCTTGTGACCTTCTCAGGAAATCCTGATGATTAGCATAGGATGCCTCACATCTAACTGCTCAATAAGCATTAGCTATCATCATAGTTCTTTTTTGCTATCATTGTGCCCAGACAAATCTTTTTCAGCAGTTTGTAGAACGCTTTTTCTCATCTTATTCTATCACCTATTTTATGAACATAATATTCAAATACTCTCCCAGAGATGTAAACTTGTATCATGTATCAACATATAAATGACTCTATTGTAGGAAACAAACATCTTATCATCCTGGATTTCTTATGACAGTATTGGTGAATAACCTGAATAAACAAGTTAACCTGAACAGAATAACCTGAATGAAGCTTAACTGCCCCATACAGACTCTAGCTTGGTTTCATAAAGGCCTTAACCTCACTCTAAATTCAGAATGGACCAGCCACGTTCTGCCTCCTCAAGACCTGAATGGCTAAATTAAGAAAGATGGTTCACCTGGACCATTGAATAGAAAATGTCTTAATATAGTATCAATTTGGTTTATGTACAAAACAATGTAGTCACAGATGAGAAATAGGGCCAAAGCTCTCTTCTAAAGACAAGGAACTGTAATTAACAGTAGTCAGGTTTTTTTTTTTTTAAACTAGGGTGAGATGGGGTAAGGAGAATTTTACATGGAACTAAGGACATCCTATGCTTCTCTCTCCATTCCTACTTTTCCCAATTAGAGATATAAAAATACTACTTCAAAAAAAGAGACAGTACTTCTTATTAAAATACTTTTATAGGGGAGATACACACACATGTACACATTTACAAACAAACGTGTACCTGTAATAACTTCTGGATCCTCTAGTATATTACTCAATACATGCTATAAAGTAAACTTAGCATATTTGTCATATTGTAAAGTGTATAGCGATTTCCCAGTAGGGTTTAAAAAACAATCCAGACACAAGAGACGTCAATGCCCTAAACATTACTCTCCAGAAAAAAATATTAAAATTAAAAGCTGAACTTCAACAACTTTAGAAATGTTTCAAGGCATACGTAATTAATCAGGAAATGACAAAGAACTTGGACCAGGATCTGATAGAACCGAATATAGTTCCATAATAATGAAATATAAAAGTGATCAAGGGAAGGAACAAATATGAAAAACTCCCAGACTGCACTGGCAATCCAGGGGTTAAGACCCTGCGCTTTCAATGCAGGGGACATGGGTTTGATCCCTGGTAAGGGAACTAAGATCCCACATGCTGCAAGGCACGGCCAAAAAAAAAAAGAAAGAAAAATTCCCAATTTCTGACCCTGGTCTTGACCTAATTTTTAGAAAAGTCTGGTTAGTGAACAGCAAAATAAGGAGGTGCTAACTTTAAAGCAATTTTACAACAGTAGAATATGAACTTGTAGTCGGCACATCTGACATTTAAAAAGAAAATCTTCGAATGACATGTATACAATCAATTAATAAACAACTGTGGCAAACCATACACACATGGAAAAAGGGCTGTGCTCATTTCACTACTGAACAGCAGATGCCATTAGGGCTGTCAACAAAATACTTCACTTGTGCAGGCACCTTAACCCCTGTTTTGGTAACTCAAGATAATTAAATGTACAAAGCATTGTCTCATATTTAACTTATGAATGTTCCAGATGATGTCATCCCAACTTCAAACAATCCCCACAACTGACCTAGTCAGTGACTGATGCAGAGGGATTACCGAGAGCTCCCCACTCTCCTGACTGAGGCCAACAGTTAAGAAGTTATAATGGGGGCTTCCCTGGTGGCGCAGTGGTTGAGAGTCCGCCTGCCGATGCAGGGGACACGGGTTCGTGCCCCGGTCTGGGAAGATCCCACATGCCGCGGAGCGGCTGGGCCCGTGAGCCATGGCCGCTGAGCCTGCGCGTCCGGAGCCTGTGCTCCGCGACGGGTGAGGCCACAACAGTGAGAGGCCCGCGTACCGCAAAAAAAAAAAAAAAAAAAAAAAGAAGTTATAATGAAGAAAAAGATTTACTCTGATTTAAAACTTCCTTTAATAATAAAAAAGACAATTACCATAATGAAAAAACTAATTTTTTTATATTGACTAGCTCCTTCTCCTCATGCTATAAACTTTCTATTTGAATAAAACCACAATTATGACTAAAGCATAATTCAACTAGGTACCTGAATTAATGTATCATTAAGTTTTTAGGAAAAGGTAGCCTTATCTACGAAATTTTTAACTTCAGAAATTGAAGGTACAGAAGTATCAAATATACAATTAACCCAAGACAACTGTGGAAGTTAGAAAGGGAAAGGGGTTTTATCAATGGTTCTTGTGATATCAAGGCAAGACAAGAATGTAGCTGTTTAACAGAACATGGTTTGTTATTTAAGAAAATCATAGAGTAGTAGAAATACTTTTTAGTTAGTTTTGCTAACACAAAACTAGAGGATTCTACAAAAAGTATAATTATAACACTATCATTTGCTTGGCTACATTTGCACTTAATGGACATAAGGTGAAAATATGAACCAACTTGGAATGAAAATGCCATAATCTCACAGTCAACTCCTCATTGTACACACTAGTGAGAAAAGGGGTTATCTTAAGTAATTCAGAACAATGGACAGAGAGTTCTCAAATTACTGTTACTTTTCCCATCTTAAAGTAGTCCATCCTCTAAATGTTTGGACTCTGGTGTTTTGGGGTCCCAAAATGGGCCATCTCCAGATCATCTCCAAAGTAAACAATCCATCCACAGATAACTGAGTCGATGTGGCTGACACATATTCCAATCAATAAACTGCACATGGACACTACATGCCAAGCATGCTTCAGAGTAATTTCTGAAACTGTAAGAATGAGGGAAGATGACTGAGACTTCCCTAGCAAGAGCAAAACATGCTAGTGTCCAGTCAAGAGAACTCTGAGTAGCTTACCTCCTGTAGTAGATCAGCCTGCTCAATTGCTTTAAGGACATTTTTCTTGGATGTTTCCTGAACTTCTCCTCCCAAAAGAAACTCATCCAAAATAAAATAAGCCTTCTCAAAATTAAAGATGATATCAAGTTCACACACCTGAAAAGCAAAAATAAATAAATAAATAAATAAAACCGAAGAAAGTAAAAGATACTTACCTACTTACCTACTATCAGGTAGTCAGTAAAATCTGACCAGAGGGAATCAATCTTAATGCCTACAAGCTAAGGAAGACCAGACTCTGCAAGCTCCTAACATGGGCAACTTAATAATTTTCTACTCATAAAGACTGATCTTTTGAAATACATATTTCTGGGTAATATGATTGTAACTGCTAACCAAATCTAAATTCTATACTAAGCACTTCCAGTATATTAATCTTTGCAGTTGGACCCCTTTCTATTTCACTATTTTAAACCTTGTTCTCAGCAGCATAATTAAATGAGTAGGTCTGTGGGGTCAAGCAATTCTGGCAGTTAACTCACTAGGCACACTGACAAGAAATAGCCATTCCTTCCCTCTCCCACAGTTACTATCAAATAGTCAGAATCCCCAAGATAATTAAATAATAAACTTGTTACAGAAAAGGTTAAAAAAAAAGCACTATGGCATTCAATTTCCTAAAACAAAATACTACTCACACTGCCAAAATACTTGTCAAGTAATTCCACATAACGATGAATTATTTCCAGGGTAATTAGTTCATTGTCCTGATCCTCAATAGCACAGCAAAAATACAGACTGGCATATCTGTAACAAAAAACAGATGTAGAAAAAAATTTACCCTATAATCATGTTTTCTAAAATACATTTTCATATCCTATTGTAAAATATGTCATGCTTATACAGTTTATTTCCTCTTTACAACAGTAGATTATTTTTCTCCTAGACTATAAAAGTAATAAATGTACAAAAAGAAATTTTGAAAAGTACAGGCAAGCAAAAAAAAAAAAAGAAAGAGTTACTTATTTTGCTCTTCTTCCATTCAGGCTCCTTTCTAGAATATTCTAAAACACAATTGACCCAGGTTGTTCTCAAGTTTACTTAAAACAAAGTGCACTGTTGACTATTTCAAACCACAAGTAAACAGGGAAGAAAATAAACTCTCCAACTGAAGGACTTATTGAAGATGCCGTCAACGTTAAGTCAATGTTCTGGAACATTTTACTGAAGTGTAATATACACACAGAGCAGAACACAAGTCATAAATGTACAGCCTGATGAGTTTCGAAGTGAACATACTTGTGTACCAGCACCTGCACCAAGAAACAGAATTATTACTGAACCCCTGAAGCCCCTCTAATCTCTCCTGGTCACAGCCTCCCACCCCCAAAGGTAACTACTATCTTGACTTCTAACAGCACAGAATTATTTTTAAAGGAGTTTTATAGGATTATGGAATAAACCTCAAGAAAAAAACAACAGTTCCAAGTAATCATAGAAGTCAGAAAAAGAGAACAGGGGAAACTGAGACATGTCCTCAAAATTTCCAAGTTCTACCCTGTTAAATTAAAGCTCGGGTTATTTACCCTTGAAGAAAGTATAATAAGGTTGGAAAAGTCATATTCTCCAAACTAGGATTCTAGCACATGGGACTAGGTTATACTTGATCCAAGGAAGCCAAAAGTTATTAACACAACCTTGAGGCATACATAAGGAAGGATGACCTAACCAAGTCCTTTGAGGAGGGTTAAAAGAGTATTTTCAAATGGTTTAAATGTATTTAAGGCTTTTGAAAAGAAACAAAATGAAAACCTAAGACATTCTAAACAAGTCTCAGTTGCCATTGTAATTTTCACAGAGGAGCATTTAAGTGATTTTTAGAAAACACAATGGGAAATTACTGCTCATAGCATTAATGTAAAATAACATACAAACATACACACACAATCTCAGTTTTGAAATTCAAGGAATTCCTGCTCTTCAGTATGAGAATAACTTCAGTATGAGTATTTTCATAACACTATTAATTTCAATATTATTAAAAACATTTCCTCTTATTTGATTTTTCCAACAGTAAACAGCAGCATCCTTGATTACGGAAGGAAAAAAAAGAGGCCCAAGAGTACAAGGGCCTGCCAAGTGGTTGTACTGTGACAAGAAATCTGATCTTCATACCTTAACTCCAGGCCTTTTCCACTCTACCACACTGACTCCCTTGTCATACACATACACTTTTTGCCACGTCCATTCTACCTGATTTCTACATTCACTAAGTTATTTTATTTATTTTTAAAAATAAATTTATTTCTTTATTAATTTATTTTGGCTGTGTTGGGTCTTCGTTGCTGTGCGTGGGCTTTCTTTAGTTGGGGTGAAAGGGGAGGGGGCTACTCTTCGTTGCGGTGCGCGGGCTTCTCATTGCAGTGGCTTCTCTTATTGCGGAGCACGGGCTCTAGGCGCACGGGCTTCAGTAGTTGCAGCACGCGGGCTCAGTAGTTGTGGCTCACAGGCTCTAGAGCGCAGGCTCTGTAGTTGTGGCACACGGGCTTAGTTGCTCCGTGGCATATGGGATCTTCCCAGACCAGGGCTCGAACCCGTGTCTCCTCCATTGGCAGGCGGATTCTTAACCACTGCGCCACCAGGGAAGTCCTTCACTAAGTTATTTTAAATGGTGGTTCAGGGCTTCCCTGGTGGCGCAGTGGTTGAGAGTCCGCCTGCCGATGCAGGGGACACGCTGCTGAGCGTGCGCGTCCGGAGCCTGTGCTCTGCAACGGGAGAGGCCACAACAGTGAGAGGCCCGCGTACCGGAAAAAAAAAAAAGGGTCCCCTGCAGTCTTAGAGAGAAGGCATTCACACACGTTCATTTATTATCATGAAGGACATAACAGGCACCACCTCCAACCTTACTAACAAAGCGCTTCCTATCTTTCCCAGCACTATCCTATGTTTTGTTTATTGCTTTAAAAGGCAATGGGATATTCCAACCTTCCATCCTCCCTAACCCATGCTCCTCAAATAGTCTTAAATTTGGGAAAACTGATACAATTGACACATAAGATTCTCTGAATTAAGAAAACTAAAGATTAAAGGGGCTGACATGAAAAATGGTAGATAAAAACCAGACATAACTAGCTGCTATGAACAGAGTGCTAAATAATTCCATTAGAAAGAATTTACTAATAGGCAACGTCAGGTAAATTTAATTTGTTTTTTAAATTTCAAGATTTCTTCAATGCTACTGTTAAGCAATCTAATGCTTACACCATCCTTGCTCCTTATCCACAGTACCGCTTTTTACTTATAAGTAAACAGCATTTAAACACTAGTCAAAGGTCCTAGATTATACGAGTCATTCGGAAATATTACTTTAATATCAAATTAAATGAATTCTTCACTGTAGGTGAGCATCCAGTTATCAGGATTATAAGAAGGCACCTCTTTCCAGAAGGCTTAAGGAAGAAAGAAACAGAAGCATAATAACAGGTAACATTTACTGAGTCCTCACTGAGTAAGGCACTAAATGTTACCTAAGGCCTTGGCATAATTTACCATTTTAATCCTCAAAAAAACCCTTCCAGAGAGATACCGTTATTATTTGCATTTACAGGAGACTCAGGCTTAATTGAGTAATCTTCCCAGAACAGTGATTTGACTCCAGAGCCTGAGTTGTATATTAAAAACTATGGCCCAGAACTGTGCTAAATAAAGTAATCCTGCAACTGGCAAAAATTAAAACATATTCAAAGCAATATTTTACATGCTTTGAAGAGAGAAATAAAAATTGTTATCTTGATTTAGTAAAAGATTACCAGGAGAACCTGAGGTATACTCCCTATTTTCAGAAGCAAGTGGTTTTAAAAAATTCAATAATGAGCTCATTTTGTTCTCTTAGTATATATTTGTACGTCTAAATCTGAAGTAAAATTAATAATAGACTAGTAAGAAGAAAGGTATGTTTGGTTATTTTTAGCAGAGTAGATTACGGCTTACTCTAATTACTGGCACTCAGAGAACATCTGAAGGTGCCTATTCTTATATTCACAACACATGACTTCTCCCCAGTCAGCTAAATATCAGCTGACTGTGGGTGACTGTAACCAAACCGTTCTCAATATTCTACTGCTATGTCATTAAAAATTCTTTTGTTAGTAAAGAAAATCAATACAGTACTCTTCAACAAATTCTGAAGCTCGTAATTGGTAGGTGTGTATTTTTTAATTAATATTAAGACTTTAATCCATAACATGCTGCACAAAATAGGAATAAAAAATGCATACAGTGTCTTCTGTGTTCACGGGATCTTCAAGAGCGTTTATTTTAGAGATGAGGAAACAAAGGCAAAATGACTTGTTCAAAGTCACAAAACTAGCTAATGGCCAAAGGAAAAGAACTCAAGTCCCCAGACTTTCAGTCTAATTTTTCAGCTATATTAACCTTACTCCCCTCTCACTTCTCCCTCCCCAAGAGGGGCAACTGTAAAGAAAGGCTCAGGGATGAAGAATGTGGATGAGGCAACTTGAGGAAGGCAGACATAAAGATCACTTGGTGGTATGAACAGCGAAAGTGCTAGTTCAGAATTTCTCAGCAGCTAAGTGGTAATTCCTTTGCTTAAAAGGTCTCCTCTTCCAGCTGGTCTAGGGAAAAAAAAATCACCTGGGGCTTCCCTGGTGGCGCAGTGGTTGGGAGTCTGCCTGCTAATGCAGGGGACGGGGGTTCGAGCCCTGGTCTGGGAGAATCCCACATGCCGCGGAGCAGCTGGGCCCGTGGGCCACAACTACTGAGCCTGCGCATCTGGAGCCTGTGCTCCGCAATGAGAGGCCGCAATAGTGAGAGGCCCGCGCACCGCGATGAAGAGTGGCCCCCGCTCGCCACAACTAGAGAAAGCCCTCGCACAGAAACGAGGACCCAACACAGCAAAAATAAATAAAGTAAAAATTAATAAACTCCTACCCCCAACATCTTCTTAAAAAAAAAATCACCTGTTCATAGCTACAAAAAAATGTCCTTAAGTACTCTAGATGAGTTTTCAGTATGAAATGGGGAAATGCAGAGGAAAACTGATAATAAATTCTAACTTTTATATGTGAATTTCATCTCAGGAAAGCTGGGGTTTTTTTTAGTGCACCTTTATTTATAGGCGCTTGATGTAAATATCAGAGTCAGGTGAGATTACCCTTTACAGCCTTTAACGGAAAAAGCGGTGGCCCAACATGGATGGGCTGAATGCTGTGCACAAAGCACCAAGTAGTGCCTTCTTTTCTTTTGACAGGCCATCTCCTTCAGCTACAGGAATCTTGATTCCTGGGACTGATTCCCTTGCTTGTATTTTCCTCCTCCACACGGGGGACTCCTTCCCCTATCTAGAAATAAGCTTAAGTCTCTTATGCCATTTTTTAACCCTGTCCCCCAATCCTGTCTACAGGTGGTTATCACCTCTTCTGTCCTTCATAGCAAAGCTCCCCCAAATACTCTACACCTGCTGTTTTATTGTCTCCACCTCTTCACACTTTGCCCCATTTCTTCGAGAGTTCTGTCTCTACTATTCCACTGAAAATGTTCTGATGAAGGGCATTTTGTGAAATGCTCACTGTAAAATCTAATATTCTTCACTTTAGTTGACCTTTATGCGACCTTTGGCACTGGTGGCCTTATTTTTGAAACTCTCTCCCCTTCCCCAATGTGACTGACCTTATACTTATCCTTTGCCTGCTGTTTGAATGCTGGTGATCTAACGCTTTATGCCTAATTTTCCCCCAGACTTCCATGCCTATGCCCACCCTGAGAAAACTAGGCATCTCCAAATGGAAGTCACACAGGCCCCTCAAAGCCAACCTTCTACTTCACCATTTACCCCATCAACTGAATCAGAAATGTGGAATAACACCACTCCTCCTCTTCTTTCACTGCCCTCCCTGCTTCTAGCGGTGACCAAGTCTTACCAAACTTACCTCGGAACAGCTCTTCCACCTGCTGAGCCCACAGCAGAGGTCTTCCTTCAGGACTGCCGGATGAGGCAGTCTCCTAACAGATCCCTCAGGTGCCAGTCTCAGCCCTCCCCCCACCCATTCTCCAACTACAGGATCTTTAAAGAAATGCAAATTTTCTATTCATCCCAGTTTAAAACCTTTGCCTCCAGGCTTAAGATTTGAGTTCTGGCCACTATGGCAGTCACTAGCAACTGACCTTGGACAAGTCACTTCTCCCAAATTCTCATTTTTTATAAAGCTGAAGTTTGATCAACAGTAGTGGTTTTCAAACTCAGGAACCATCTACAGAGAGGGTGGAAGCCAAATGAGTTGAGACACAGTCCTGATTTCACACGAGCACCTCCACTTCCACTTGTTTCATTTAAAGTTCTATCCTTGGGGCAAAAAGCTTTTTAAAAAAAAAAAAAATCACTTGACTAGATTACTCTAAAATATCTCCCAGCTCTAAAATGCTATGATTTTTCTCAACAAATACTAAACCAAACACTGGATACAAAATCACCCAAAGATGACTAATATTCATTCTATTCTAAAGAGAAGTCTATGGTATTTTTAAAGTTCTAGATGTCCTATAACCTTCATGACTTTCTCTACCATCTCCCCTACAAACCCCACTCATATTGTAGTGGAATAAAGGAAAACTGAGAGAAAACCCAGGCTTCTCTTTGACCCTCCTCGAAGCCCATACAGTCAGTTCCCTGCACATCCCCCTCAGGAAAGAATTTTTATATGCATGAATGTTCTTATCTTAAATTCAGTAAATTATTTGTAAGGGAACAGAAATGGGGAAGAAACAAAGTAATTATATTTCTTTTAACCTTATGAGAACAATCTTGAGAAGTTTATTTTAAGGTATAAAAAGTTTCAGATATTAATAAAGATGTATAGCATTTTTTAAAAAGCTTAATGTTCAAGGCCAACCTATGAGTCATTTTGCAACATCAAAATTTTAAAAGTCTGTTCTTGGCAAAATTATCTATCTACCAGATATAATCACACCTCCACCACAGCAACAAGTGTACTTCAAATTAATAAGCCCTAAAGAACAAATCCTGTATATATCCAGTTTTTACATCTGTGACTAAAATGGTCTATGTATCCAAGGTGTTTATAAGTGAGTAAGAGATCCTAAAAGTCAGATTAAAAGGCATGTCAAATATCAGTCATTACTTTACAGATTTGTGGGGAGAAGGTGGTGGTGGAGGGTAAATGCTTATCTAAATTCAGAGAATTACTCACACAATTTAAAATACTGATCTTATTTTCCCCTGCAAAGAAATGAATTCTTTCAAATTTCCTAAAAAGATGATTAAGCATGAAGTATCATTTATGCCTTCAGTCACATAATTTCGTGTAAAAAGATTTCCATAATTTTAACATTTTAGCCTGGGTAATAAATCAAAACAGCAGTTATCTTAAAAATACAAAGCTTTACCTTAAGACTATTTCATCTATACCTTTATTAATCATTATTTATAAATGTCATCCCTCAAAAGTCTGCAGTTTCCACATTATAAATGATCTGACATTTGATTCTATTTCACCTTCCTGATAAATCAAAATATACCTTTTGTAAACAATCTTCAGATCTCGCCACTCAAGAAAGCTGCACATTTTAGGTTTCCGTGCTAAAACGGTTTGAACAAGTTCTCTTGTGATCTTTTTCTTCTCTTTGTCTGATAATGGGACGTACCATTTCTGCAGTCGAAGCTTTCCCTGACGACTAAAAAGCAACATAAACTGCATCTGTTAAGATAAACAGAACCAAGATTACAGACAATACTTTGATTCAATAAAGTTAAGGTTAAGATGACATGCTGCACAGAGAAGCTTTGGGGGACAGGGCGTTTAGCTAACAAATGATGAGTAGCCATCAATATTTCTATGCCAGTTAAAATAGCAGGAAATTCTTATAGAAAGATCTTCCCACCAGATGCAAATCCTCCCACCCCACCCGGTTCCACGTAAGTTTGGGGGGGCGGGACGGGAGGACAAAAACAGGCGAAGTGAAAATTCTGATGAAAAAGATAATTCTTGCAATTTAAGAAACTATTGTGTACCTGTGCTATAGGAATGCATGTATATGCATCAAAAGAGAATTGTTGACATCAACTGGTTTAGATGCATTTGAAAGAAACAGATCTACTATTTTTCACCCTAAACAGAACAAGCCGTCCTGGTTCCAGACCGAATTACTTGTAGACAGACTGCTATAACTTAGAATGCTCTCTTCAGTTTATGCTTACATATTTTAAGCAAAACAAAAAATCTAAAATATAAACCAAAAAAATCCCATAAATGCATTTTTCTTAATAAAAGCCTGATTTAAGTATCTTATCTCATTTTAAAAATCCCACCATAAATATACACACAATAAAGTGAGTTAATATAATTTTACCTAAGACAATAAAACCTTTAAAAAGCCAAAATAAGAGCTACACACATTACATGAAATACTTCATTTAAAACGATAAAAAACACAGCATCTACAGATGGAGTGGATGCTGAATTCTAGTGTATTTTACACAAACTGTTTTGTATATATTTATTTGGAATCTGCAAATGATGATTAGTCTACATGTTTAGTTTTTAAGGAAACCTTCTTGTATAATTCAACTGGTCTTCTCAACTGCAAACAGATAAGCACTGTTTCTACAAAGGTAATTTAAAGGTAGAATTCAGATATATATATATTTTTTCTTTTAACTATTGTATGTTCCAGTACTAGTTACTGCAAGTAAGATTCAGCCTGACTCTTAATATTCACCACACCATGAACATGGGGTGGGGGAATTTATACAATCAATTTGAATAAAATGGGCCCTAAATTTCGCTAAGAAATCATTGCCGCTTTTTGTAATAATCCAAACGGGCATCAAGATATTTAGAAATTTACGATGCAACAATTTAACTTTATTAAAGTTAAAATTGGCTGAAAACACCTCACTTAAAAAGGATGCCTGGCACGAAGTAAACGAACAATATTTGTTTATTGATGTCAAAGTGCCTCACATAGAAGTCCTGTTAAGATAGCGGCATTAGAAGGGGACAGCAAGTAAAGCATCAACTGGACAACGTTTCATGCAAACCCGTTAGCAGAACTTGGAAAAGAACAGACCCGTATTCCAGGATCTCGATGACCAGGAGGGCTGGGGGTTTGCTTTCGGAACTCAAGGACTCAAGGGAGTCTATAGCAGGCTCCCCCATCTCCCCCACCACCACTTTTTATGACGAATAGATAATTCACTCTCTTGAAAATAAATTATATGTTAACATGGGACGGTGCCCGGTCGCAAGGCACAAGTATTCCTTTCCTCTAGTTAAAAACCAACGCTCTGATTTTGCCACAAATCACAGAGCACCTCAATTCCTGGAGATTGGTATTAAAAACAATGGGCTCGGCCGCGGAACGGGCTCGGGGCCAGCGTTCCTCGGTCCGGCCGTCTCCGATGCCTGCCCGCCGCCCCACGGGGGGCCGCACTCCATCACTGAACGATCGAGCCCGGGCGAGGTGACAGGCAAGGAGCGGGGCAGACAATGGCAACCGCCGCCGCGCAGGGGGCGCCAAGGGTCCTTGGTCGCCGCCGCCCCCGGCCGCCGACCCCGCCCGCAAATGCCCCGCAAAACTTGAGGCGATTTCCGAACCACAGGTGCCGCGGGGCCGCCGCAGCGTCCGAGACTGGCCCCCGCATCCTGGGGCGCGGCGCCGAGTGGAGAGGGGCGCGCACGCGAAGAGAAGTGAGTTTCGAGGCGCGGTGCCCCAGTGGCGGGCCGGGCGGGCGGACGCAGGGTGGGGTCGTCAGGGCGCTCGTGGGGCAGCGGGGGGCTCGCCCGACCCTCCCTCCCCGCTCCCCGTCCCCAGCGCCCCCGATCGCCTCCCGGGACTTACGGCGGCCGCGGGCCGCAGGCGCGGCGGGGCTCGGCCGGCGGCGGCGGCGGCTGAGGGGAAGCCCCTGTCGCTGAGCTGAGGAAGAGAAGCCGTGTTACTGTGGGGAGAGGACCCGGTTCGCGGAGTGAAGGCTTAAGCGGCTAGGGGAGGGCGAGCCGACAGACCCCGCCCCGGGGGCCGGACGAGGGAGGAGCCAGGGCTGCGGCGAGCAGAGGGGCGGGCTGGGCGGTGCGCGGGACGCAGCTCGGCTGTTGCCAACGGCACCGGAGACAGCTCAGGTGACCGCCCAGTCCGAGGAAGCCGATTGGCCGCGTCTTTACCAAGAGGGGTGGTCCGAACCGGAAGCCAGGCCACGTGACCCGGAAGCGGCCGCTGCCGGGGCCGGCGCGCCTGCGCACTCCTGAGTGTGCCACCGGGACGCGCGCGCAGCTGTCTCGGCTGTTTTGTGGTGAGAAGGTAGTGTTTCGCGGTGCCCTTTGTTGACCCTGCTATGCGGGGCAGGGAAGATCTGGACTGCCAAGAACCACATTCGAGCTCGGATAACTTTCCGTGCCCCAAGAAGGTGGGACGGGGCGGTGTAATGCCTGGTGATGTTGGTGAGGGGAGAGAGGGGGTGCTGCAACTCTGAGGAAAATAAGTCAGCTCTTTCTTGGAGCTCGTGCACGCGTTTAGAGTGCTCTTTACAATTACTTTGCCTCAAAACCGTCCGGAATCCGACCCCTGCTTCCCATCGCACTGCTACAGCCCTAGACACCTTTTCGCCCCAAGCTGTGCAAGTGTCTCTTCCCGGGGCTTGCCTCGTACGTCCTCAGTGCTGCGGACCTGAGGAGTTACTGTCCGTTCTCAGCTGAAAAGCCTAGACAGCACCTCATTTCAAGATCCCGCTTCTTTCACACGGAGTCTCCCCTCTCCTCCCCCACATCCGCCTGGGTTCCAGTTAGTCTTGTCGACGACTTGCTCTGCCTGGCTTGCCCTTGCTCTCAAATGTCACAGCTCCTATGAAGCCTCACCCTCAAACCCTGTAAGAAGGAATCCCTCTTTCATCCATATGCCCATTAGCACATCTTGAATTTTCTTCATTTTGTACCCCAACCTAGTTCACTGCCTAGTATATAACACCACTAGTAAATGTGAGCTGACTGATAAGGATTATAAAATTGTAGATTTGTTTAGAACCATAGTGCTGAGCATTGTGTCTGGCACATAATGGATGTACATATTTTTTTGAATGAAAGAATGGATGAATCATCCAGTCCGACTCATCTTTTACAGATGAGGAAAGGGGAGCCCCACGGGATTAAGTGACCTTGCTTGAACAGCCACGGGTTTCTCATGTCGACTGCTATTCATTACCCCAGTCACCTCGGTTCTTACAAAGAAAGCTAGAAAATTGCTTTTGTTAAGCTATGCCCTTTTTGCAGAGGTTCCCAAACATAGTCGCCCGAATTTTTTAACGGCCCAAAGGGAAAAAGAGATGCTAAGTTTTACAGGAAGCTAAATTTAATCAATCTAAAGGAATCCTTTATTAGAGATTGTGTTCTTTTTGTGTGTGTTAAAATGTCTATAAAACTAAGATAGTATATAATAGGAATTTGGGGGCATTTTTTTAATGCCCTTCTTTGGCAAAATAAAAATATACAATACCTTCCTTTTTTTTTTTTTTCTGGAATACCTTCCCTTTTAAACGCTGCTATGCTGCTTGGAAAATTTCCTACCAACGTGTATGCTAAACGTATATACTGTAGTATTAAAGAAGTGGTCGACACAAAGCACAGAGCTGGCTTTCTGTAGGTCTTTAGGCCCCCTGCCCAAATTTCAGCAACGGGACCAATCCTGCCCCAGAGGCACATGTTAATGCCCCATTTCTCCCTTACTACACAAAACAGATGCCATTAGCCAGTCAAAGATATATCTAATACGATGTAATGAAAACTCGCCCTCTGAATCCAAATGCTGCTTTTCTCTTTTTCTGTACAAAACTCATGTCCTCAAGTTTCCTGAGATAACTACCTCCAAGTTTAAGCTCATTGGTTATGCTCCTGATGTTGGTCTGTGGTTCTGAAAACGAGGACGGGAGACTTGCTGATGACATATTGGCAGTCTCTGGTATTCCTAGCCAAGAAAAGGTGGAGGTGGGGGGAGGGAGGGTAGGGAATTATGGGAAAAATAATTAGCAGCTGAAAGCAGCTATTACATAATCTTGGCTGCTTATTAATTTAGCAGAAGGAATGGCTTATTAAATTCTAATAGCAACAGCACAACTGCAAACAACCTAGCAATTAACAGTGCAGGGCCCATTATTTTGTTAATATGTTCTCTTCTTTTGGCAAGTGTATAAGAACAAAATTTATAGAAGCAGATGGTCTTTTTCAGTAGATTATAGATGGTTTATTTCCCAGTCTTAGTATTAAGAGCTTATTGTGCGTTCACCGTGAAAGACAAAAGAAGCACTGTTATTGTCTTTGTTGGTAATTAACTGTTTGACTTTGATTCCCACAATTTCCAAATTGTGGGCTTTGTTATATAGCTGATTCTTCTCACCTGGTATCTTCTTCATCTGTCATGTTAATAGGGTCTCTTTTTTTAGTCCTTTGCTTTTGTTATCTGGGTGGTCCTGATTTCTTGGTTGTTATTGATTGATGGTACAAAAATTATTTTTTATGAAAAACTAAAAATCAGATTTTATACTTTTTTTTTTTGATACAGGAAACATTTATTACAGTACCGTTTCTCATGGAACAAGAACACGTAGTTTCATGGTGCACGGCTGCCAGATGTTTCCCAGGTTTCAATGTCCCAGGTAGATAAAGGAAAATTCGGCAAGGTCAGAAGAGAGAAGAACAGATTTATCATGAAATAGGAATGGTAACTGTGTCCCAAGTGTACAGAAGGGGAAGAATTGAAGTCTTTCTGGTAACCTGCCTTTGCTTTTATTTATGTTTTTATAGAGATATAGTTGACATATAACACTAGTTTCAGGTGTACAACATAATGGTTCGATATTTATATATATATTACAAAATGATCAGAGTAAGTCTATTTAACATCACTTGTTTCTTAAACAACAACAAAAAAAGTGCCTAGCTTTTATTTGTGCTAAATGCAAGAGGTGAGGGTAAAGTAGAGATTCTACCTTTTAACAGTAAAATTTTGAGACTTTATATGTAGTCTTTTATAAGTTTTCAAAAATAATTTTAGTTTCCTGTTAAATGTGTGATGGCTATATGCTTTTATCTCCTCTCCCTCTCAAAATGCCATTAAATGAAAAAAAAGAAGAGGAATGTTTAAAGTATAGACCCACATGGACAATAAGGGAGGGGACAGTAGCGTGAGGATGTCAACGAGGATGTCAGGGTACACTATTGGCTCATGATTAAACACTGACGATTTAAGAAAAAATTGTAGTATATTTATCTTGAGAATATGGAGGACAGACGTGAGGGGATGTTGAAATAATGCTAAATCCTCATTCGGTAACAGGAAGAAAATAGATACGATCCAACGTGAATCAAGAAATAGAATTATTAGCATATTCTTTCAATACCAAGAAGTAAATTCCAGATGCAATGAAGACTTTCTTTCCAGAGACAGAATCTTGAGGTAGGATGTAATAAAGGTTATTATTACATTTTATTTTACTGTAGGTTTTACTTAGATAATTTTTAAAAATATTGTAATGAAGTAGATAAAAATTCTTCTGTTAGTGCTAACACTGTATTAAGGATTTGTACAGTGTTCCTTTAGCCAGTCTATATATTATATAAAATTTATTAAATAAAAATGTTTTGTAATGAAATTAAGTGCTGAATCATTGTAGAAGATCACAGTAAGTGTAAAAAGATGCTCAGAGTTTGTGAATTTGCATCTTCTAAGATAAAGTTGTTCCGAGGAGAAAACTGGCCTAAAATAATGAGGATTTGTGAACCAAATCATTTCAAATAGATAGAGCTGTCACTGCTGAAGTCCTCAACAATGAGCTAAAGGGAAATGTGGAACATAAGTTCTTTCTTGACGCCTGTTTCCATAGCTTTGAATAAAATGCAGGAGAATGACTCTTCTCCTTTTAATATTGGGTTAAAGCATTGATTCTCAAGCTGGGCAATTTTATCCCCCACCAGGGAACACTTGGCAGTGTCTGGAGACATTTGGGTTGTCACAGTGGGGCAGGGGGGCGGGGGTGGGGGAAGAGTTGGTGATGGGGCTGCAATGTACAGAATAGCTTCCATGACAGAGAATTATCCAGCCCAAAATGTCAATAGTGCCGAGGTTGAGAAACCCTGAGTTAGTCACTGAAAAGGTTAACATGCAGCAATGGAGATATTTTATAGACATTTCAAGAAATGGAACAAGCACTTATCTTCATATGTTTGTTTTTCTCTCGGAGGGGTTGGAGTTGGAGGCATTCTTAATGTTTGATAGGTAAAATCCTTAACTGCTGAAAAGACTGGCCACATACATGAGGCAGTCAGTATTCATCAAAGTAACTAGAATAAACTATCCAAACGGGATTTTTTTTCAAAGTGATTCTGGAATATTAGTGGAAGTTATTTAAAACTGGGATCCATGAGATGACTATTCCATCCATTCATTCATTCACTTTTTTTTGGCTGTTTTGGGTCTTCGTTGCTGCGCGTGGGCTTTCTCTAGTTTGGGCGAGCGGGGGCGAGTGGGGGCTCCTCTTTGTTGCGGTGTGTGGGCTTCTCATTGCGGTGGCTTCTCTCATTGTGGAGCACGGGCTCTGGGCACATGGGCTTCAGTAGTTGTGGCCTCAGGGTCTAGAGCGCAGGCTCAGTAGTTGTGGCGCACGGGCTTAGTTGCTCTGCGGCATGTGGGATCTTCCTGGACCAGGACTCAAATCCGTGTCCCCTGCATTGGCAGGCGGATTCTTAACCACTGCGCCACCAGGGAAGTCCCAATTCATTCATTTATTAACATAAATGTTTATTATGTGTTTGCTCTCTGCTGGGCACTGTGGTAGATAATGGTGATACAAAGATGAGTAAGATGTTGACTCTGTCCTAAAGCTCCAAAACTATTTCTCCTGACACAAAATTCCATGTCTTTTGGCAACAAACTCTGGATGGTCAGGGGAGCAGTCACCAAACATATGAATACATTTTC